GTTTTCCCAAGAAACCATACCATCACGATAAATAATGATTGCAGTTTTCCCTTAATAGATGTATTACTCATAACACAATTTTTTTTTACTTGGATATGCTATTTTTAGACCATACGTTTCGACTTTGCAATTTTGGAGTCTCTTTAATTTCTATAGAATTTGCATCATAATTATTATAATGAGTAAGATATGCTCAATTTATCCTTTGAATTAGATTGCGGCGTATGTTTGTAAATTGCAGATATCGCAAGAACAGTATCTGTCTCTTCAAACAACTTTATAGGTTATTATTCAGACTCAGATAAAGAATAATACCTAGTGCCTAAAGACTTGAACAAACGCCATAAACGTCATAGATTATAGTGTGACGTATGTACTTGTTCTTAACAAAGATTTCGGAAGGTTTTTAACGTATTGCAAAGATTTCGGACGTATTGTCGCTCGTTTTGTTATTCCGAAGTGTAGTAAAGTCCTAACACAAATCGCATAACTTATGTGCACGGGACCGCAGGTACTGTCCTTAATCTATGCGTGCACTGCACTGGGCACTATAACAATCCTTCAAACCAAAAATAATACTGCTTGCTGTTAAAAATAAACGATAGGTCATTTATTTCTGCCGTGCCATTATTAGTGGATTGAACCGTTGTGTGACTCGTCTGGGAAACCCTATTAAATAAATATCTTGTACTAAATTCCACTGCATAAGTTACGAGTATGATGCTAAGATAACAAACAATGTAGTGGATATTTATTCATAATCGCCTTCCTATTTGGTTATGTTTTTAATAATTTTGTTTATAAAGTAAATTTTTTTTTCAACTGGTTTCTAAAATAGAAGTTTCGACTATCTTTTTCTTGTATATGTTACGCAATATCTTGCCAGTTCCACTGTAATTTTGATGATTATTTTAGCACTTTTTTTTATATAAATGTCGGTTTTTTGGGAACAAAATTTTTAATTATTTTGCTTATTATCGTAATTCGCCGTTTATATAGTTATATAAAAATCTAATACAAAATCTACTAGTTCGATCACTAATTAAATCTAAACAGTGCATTTAAGAATAAAGTATTTTATTAGTAGAATATTTTGCCGTCCAATTATCAAGTCGTTATAATTATTATAGAAATAAATATGTCTAATATTGATACGGTCCCTGTTAATAATCATTAGTAATTGATTGAATAACAATTTACACCTAAGTTATTGATAGGTGAGGAACGAGATTGGCATTTTTTTACATTTTATATTTTCCATTTTACGCGTTTCTAAAATGTATTGCCATTATAAAGACAATGTACAAGTTGTACGTAGCCCGCCACAGTACGGTGCGACAACATATAAACGTCACAAACTAATACACAACCTCCTTTCTGTTGTAAGTAAATAGTTTTCATAAAATATTACGATACTAACGTAAATGTTTAAAGATACGAGATCTTAAACATTTAAGGTTAACAAAAATCTAACTCTCTTATAAATTTATGTGATACATCAAGATTACCGTCATAATAGAAGTAATAGGAGAACAAAATATATACAATTGTATGGTTATGTTTTTAATTTATCGAAACGGTATCATCATGGACGTCCTGACATGACACTATTAAGGGTGTGTTTCCCTTCAACGTCGTAACATAGGTACGCACAAATATCGTGCCGTGCTACGGTAAATTGTAAAAATTCTCTAATTTGATATTTTTGTTGACATATCCTAATTATGAGGTTTTCCTAATTTTAATGTCATATCCAGGAACAGAGCACACTTGACTCTAATCAACGACATTCACAAATAAACTAATTGCACTTCAAAATAAAAAAAAAAAAGAATTATTTTGTCTGAGAGCATGAGCGTCAAATCAACGTTGAGGTTATGTTCTCCTACTTTTATATCTCGCTCTAACATATGTTATTATGTTTTTCTTTTTTACATTGCCAATTTATATACTTTATAATTTAAGGTTCAGATGGATCGCAATTATGAATGCCAACTAGTACCCACCATTAAACTAGTGAAAAATGCGATTTAGTTTAAAAGTCTTGCAACCAAGTCATAAATACTTTCATAAAAACGTACATAATAATCTGTGGTAAGTAATCCATCAAAGACATCTATCGATCTAAGTAAATTCTAAGAGCAAATTCTGAAGTCTTTGAGTAAATTTACCTCTATTTATATTTATGACAGACCTCAAAAGTACCACGACTGCTTTTCTTCATTGGTGAAAATTGTGTTTATTATGTTGTTACTTAATTTCCTATTTGTAAATATAAAACACGACTAGTATAAATCCTTGTTCTTAGGTATAAATTTACTAGTATTTTATACTAGTCATTTTTTGTAACGAGTTACGAATTAGGTACTTTAAGCCAAGGTAAGTAGCAAGTTACTTACTAAATTATATTTTGTATTGTTTCACACTGAAATGTAAAATACCTTTTCTTTTATGCAACTCAGAATGGCAAACAAGCTGACGGTCCACCTGATGGATAGTAGTAACCGTCGCCATTAGACATGAACAGTCAGTCAACCAGTCAACCAATTTCTAATTCTGTGTGACAAAAGATATTTCTTTTACAATGCCAAATGATAAACGATGGAAAGTGGTAACTGTCAACTAAAAACATGAATGGCATATCATATAATAATACTACGACATCTTGTGTTGAGAATCTTGAATACTATAGTAGACGTGGTACGGTAGTTTAACATTCTAAGACACCGTACCCTATAATTTTGCTATCATATACCACCCTTAAAATCGAAACAGCCATGCAACTGCTCCTCGGAAATATCAGTGAGGAAAAGGCACTTATAAATAAGACTTTTGTATTAAATGTCCTAGTAGATGTATGTAAGGACTGACAAATAATAATTATATTTTGTGATATTTACTTAAACTTGAATGCACATTGAAACTGTGTACATATGGCGGACTTAACAGTGTTCTCTACCAGTCAAACATTGGGCAAACCGAGAAATAAGTAGGCGGTGCATTATTGAATTGAAGGAATATAAAAATTAATACTTAATCTATTCATATAATATAAATATATAATTAAATATATATATACGTATATAAATATTACTATAACAAATAATTAACTATATTAGAATATATGAAATAATTTATGACCCAAATAAAGTAACCAGTAAGATTAAGTTTGAAAGGAAAGTGGGAAAAAATAAATAAAAAAGGGAATGAAGTTTATAAAACGGCCTTTTTTAAGAAATAGGAGCGCAATTTATGTTATATTAATATTTATAAGCAATGGTTAGAATATTCCATCGAAGAAACTGTTAAGCTTGTTTGCCATTTCTAATGATATAAAAAATCTACGAATATGTATAAAATAAATTCGTCATAACGCCCGTGTCACCTCCAAACGTATCTTGTCCTCTATCGACATACAACTACGAGTATAATTTTGTTTTTACATACACAGTTATATGTATATTAATTATTTGGCTCTTTTGAAAACTACATCTCACATGAAATAGAAAATAATATTTGAGACGTCATTTGAAAAATTCAGTATATTGAAAAAAATAAATTAAATGATTGTTGGCTATGTAATAAATACATTATATAAATTTGTGATCAATCATAATTTTATGTAACTACATTATGCTTATTACGATATGATTTTATATTCTATTCTACGTGTATTATATTAAATTGAAAATTCTGCATCTCTGTAAATAATCAATCTTAAACTTTTTCTGCGTCATTAGTTATTATGTAGGGATACACTACGAAGTGTTTTCGGACAATTTGTCAAACTTTTAGGCGAAGCCCTGGGTCACCAAACCTTTCATCCAGACCGTAAGGCATTTTTGTGCGTATCCATTGTATGTGGTAGTAAAAGGTTATTCAATTTATTCAAACTATTTTCAACTGTCCGACTCGACCGAGTGAAACTGCGTAGAGATGTTGCATCTCTATGCATCTTCTACCGAATTTATCATGGGGAGTGCTCTGAAGAATTGTTCGGATTGATACCTGCCGTTGATTTTCACCATCGTACAACCCGCCATAAACTAAAATTTCATCCTAACCATCTGGACGAGTGGCGGTCCTCCACCGTGCGTTTTTCAAGGCACTTTCTCCCACGCACAACCACTCTTTGGAATCAACTTCCCGCAGCAGTATTTCCGAACCGATACGACAACATAACCTTCGAGAAAAGAGCATATTCCCTTTTAAAAGGCTGGCAGCACACCTGCAATGCCGTTGGTGTTGTGGGTGACCGTGGGCGGCGGTAGTCACTTACCATCAGGCGAGCCGCATGCTCGTTTGCCCTCTGTGTTGTAAAAAAAAAACTAACAGTTCAGCTTTTATTATATTTCTTTCGTTATTTACCAAGATGAACCATCTAATTCTATTTCATCATTGTCGATATAACCAGCAGTCAAAGCTTGCGCAGGCGATGTATATTTCGTATCTTGCACATGAAATATTCAAACAAAATTTATTTATGTAAACACAACATATGCATGTATTTAAGGTGTCTTTATTTACCATCAGGTGGGTCGTATGCTTGTTTGCCACCCCAGTGGTATAAAAAAATTATTATGTACTATTAATATTGTATTCCACAACTAAAAATATAACCGAATTGAAAAACTGTTTTTTTTTTAAGGCAGTTCAAAGTATACACGAGGATTGCCTCTCATCGGTTTATTACCTGTGTAAATGTGGCAAACAGTTGTCTGTGATAAATGATGTATGTGAAAAGCAAAATGATTTAATATACATAATTAACGAGGGTTCTTACTACGATTATATATTTGTTTTGAGTGCGCCAATATTTCCATCCTGATGGTCGAAATATCGTCGCGCATGGGTTATGGTCGCGACACTCGCCACGTAATTGATGAAATGCGGGTGTAACTTAAGGGAATACATGCCTGTTTACATACTTTCTTCGGCGTTTATTTTGGACGGGATTTTGCTAAAAATATAGAATTTAATAGCAAAATATTTTGTTTCAGCTCGGGATATGCGGCCGGCAAGTGTGGAGCGCGGCGCTGCGTGATGCGGCGCGCGTGCGATGCGACAGCCTGGCCGGTGGCGGCGTGCGCGCTGCTGCTGGCGTGCACCGCCAGCTGCGCTGTTATCGAACACCTCGCTGAAGGAGGTAATTTATTTATAGTTTTTTAACATATTTCGCCGTAAATGGCCGCTTCAGCGGACACTCTACCGGTGAAATTGATTAAGGCTATTTTTTACTGAAAGGTATTCTGCGTCGATCACGATCTCACCTGATCGAAAGTGACGATGAGGTCTAAGTTGGACCTCACGAGCCGCTTTTATCTGTGTATATATTTGATAAAAAGGTCTTTATTACCAACTACATATACCAAATCTATATATAGATTTTTATGCATGAAAATGGAATAATAACCCTTTGCCTGTGCTATTGGTTTGCGCTAGCGGCTTATCAATGAGAGTTGATAGGTGAGATTGAAGTTGAGTCAGCTGGCTTATCATAGCGAATTCATTAGGCATTAACCACGACAAGTTTAGTAAAATTTAGTATACAGAATAATATTTGGTTTGGTACGGAGAAGTATTTAGGCAACTGATTGTTCCTGACAACCGACGCGGACGAAATCGCGAGTACAGCTAGTGGTTGAGTAAATAAATAATGGGGAAAAGCCACTTGTCAACGAATGTTGTTTACGTGATTTGTTTCAGATAAGATTACAATCATATTATATTACAATAATTATTAAATTAAAATCCCTTTAAATTTGAACCTTTATAATGATAATAAATTTATTAAACAAAATAAGAAATGTAACAAGATAAATACTTAGAATACTTATTGATTTTAAATAAGTGTATCTGGCAAGCATGCAAGGAAAATATAAGTTTTCGACTTATTATTACTCTTTGTAGTTATAGTAATATTAATAAATAAATCACTGGCTATATTTATATCCTTAGCGTCACAAATTTGAAAAAATATATAAGATAATACCTGCTGTATTCGTTAGTATAGAATATTATGGTTTATATTAATATCAAATATATACCTATTATATAACAAGTATTTTGTACTTAAACAAAAGTTTAAATTTTGTGTTATTTTCCGATAATTTTTACTGTTTCTGTTAGTTAAATTCTCAGATTATTAGAAAATAATAAAATAGAAAAAATGTCACTGTAGAGTAACATAAAAATAGGGCACTTAACTGTTTTTGTAAACAAGTCTATTCTAGTAAAATTTATTTAGTCTATTCTAATATCTAGGTAAGACATTTCATAGTTTCATTATTATTTGTTGACATGTCTACATTTATATTAATAGGTTTATATCTAGTCTACGTTAAATATACTTTCACTTTTATGTGTCAGTGTTTTATTCCATTAATTGAAACTGAAATGTTTTAAATAATATTTGGCCTTCCTTAAAAATAGTAAATTTTACAGTTCATATAAAAATATATGATATATTCTTTTGTTGTTACATAGTTAGGCGTGATCTAAACAAATATTATAAAGAGGAAAGATTTGATTTTAAAGTTTTTTAATTTAAATGTTTAAAAAAAATTTAGTTTTTCAATAAGTACTTAACAGATTTTAAAATTTCTTTCACTTATAGAAATCTATTTTTATCTGTTCTATTTAAAATAAGTTCATATGACGCCGGGGCGGGTTGCTAGTTCCAAATAAAAACAACGTTTATTTTAGCTAGGTTTAAAAAGTTGGGAAGTGATAGGCGCGCTGGTTTTTTATCTGATATAGGTACGCGTTTCTTTACGTTGCGTGTTATTTGGAGGTGGGTACGGCCTTATTTTCGCGCTAGGCGGCAAATAAACCAGCCAATAGCGGCACGGAATTTTCAGCAAGTGGGTATGTACGGGTTAGTAAATAAACTTTAGTCACTTATATAAAATACACTACACAGTATACATAGAAAAGTTTATTTGGAACCATTGACTAATTTTTATGCGACTAATGGCTGGTTAATTCAGGGCCAAAGTAAGTATAAATACAATAAGTATAATACTAGAAAAAAAGTAAACCATGCATTGTAAAAAGAATTATTTATCAAAATCAATTCACATTTGGATGAGATATCGCGTAATATATACAATAAGGTTTGTTAATTGAAAACGTCCTATTTTTAGATTACGATATCCATGAAAATGAATATTTTCCTTAGAATTACAGACGATGTCTACAAATTTTATGAATGTAAAAATTTGTGACGATGTTTTTTATTTATTTTTATTTCTTATTTATTTATTTTGTTTTTCTATCGGTTGTTATACGCGAATGAAACATCAGTACCCGAATTATATCGCGGCATTCAATAAAATTTGCTATGTATATACACAATCGCGATTTTCACAAAATCTAATCAAATAAAAACATATACCAAAAGACGCGGACATAGAGTTCAGTTTGAACAGGTACTTATCATATAATTCGTTACTGTTACCTGTACTATAAATTCAAGTTCATTGATTAACAAATGTTAGCTATCACGAAGCTATATCTCCCTGAGTAGTACTTAATTTTTATTCACTTATTCCAATCGTTTGATTGGTTTACTGTGAGAGAAAAATAATAACCACGTACATGGTCAAAACATAACCTTCTTGCAGTAAGATAAAGCGTATAAATAAAGACGTTACACAACTTCTTAACCTTGCACACGCACAATGCTCCTGTTTTTCATAACATTCCAAGCGTTTCCATAAACATCTTACGTAATTTCTTAAACACAACGCAATAAACGACCTGCTGGAACACCATGAAACATAATTCCGAAGTTTGACCGACTTGCGTACTATGATGGAACAAGTTCATGCCGTAATCGTGCTCGAAGACGTATAGCGACCTTCGTTTGCCATAAATCCTATTTTGAAACTTTTAAACGACAGAAATTATAACATTTTGACAATATTCGTTTCCTGATGTGAATAAGAAGTTTGTATTTTTATTGTCTCCATAATTTTGGGCACATTTTCATGGTAGGTAGGTTGTAGGTTTGTCAGGCCAAGCTCGTCCGTTATTTCAGTTTTTGAGGTTGTTGTGTCCCCGCGTCTATCAACATTTCGAGTCGTACGCGTCGACTCTATTCTTACCAAACGAACGAGATAATGTAGCCGTCTTGTCTCATTAATTACTAAAGAATGCCGAGCTATCAGACTTAGTTCCATAATTTTATTGTTATTATTTCGTAACGTCATCCTCGTTAGCTAATATTGCAACTGCAGTGACACCATTGTACTGTTGTTCCTCTGTTATTTATCTTGTTGTTCTTCTGTAGCTTTGAATAACCCTAGTTTGTTTGACAGTTTTATAATTATATTGTGCCATATGTATTATACATACATAGAGATAGACGACGCAAATATCTTGGTGTATCCTAAAATGCGGCCACTTGTTTTTTTATCTAAAAATCTATGTCTTATGAAAATAACCATCTGTAATGTAACTGTTTATCCAATAGATATTAAATGAGGCTGGTATTGCTAGTAGTTCAAATTCGACCAATTATCACGTGTGTATGTTTATTTTATCTGCCAAACATAAGGCCTCTTTCACACGTCAGCGGCGTCGACGGCGTCGTACCAATGACGACGGGTGTATTCACAAAAATATGAAAACATCTATTGTAGTGAGAGTCACACATACATCTGTATCCCTTTGAAAGTTATAAATTCCATTGTATAATAAACAAGTGTTAATACGAGTATGTACAGTCAGCATCTAAATTTGATGAACACACCAACATTTTCAAACTCCTATGTTTTTGTTTTTGATGGGTGAAAATGGAATGGTAACCCCGCCTGCGCTAGCGGAATACGCTGGCGGAGTACCAGTGAAGGGTGATTGATGAGAATGTAAACAGCTCCGTTAGCCCATCATGATGAATTCCTTAGGAATTAACCATGATAGTTTCCAGGGGGAACCGCGAGGAGGTCGACCTGGTTGGGTATATTGCTAGCAATGGGATTCTCCGTCTCCATTACTAACAATCCCTTTCCCCTCAAACTCCTATGTTGTGTAGCATATAATGCATATGCAATGGTGTACAGGACGACATCAAAATCATTAGCATCCTTTTAAGCAAGTGTTCGGACCAGTGAAACTAAACATTTTCCCTAATGTGTTGAAAATTGACCAAAAATTTTGAGTCCGCCATACTAATTAAAACATCTGAACGCGTCGTGTTAGCATGGGAGATGTTTTTTTTTATCTTCTATGATATCGATTCAATTCTGGCGTTAACCTTACTAAATTTTAGCATGACTTTATGTGTGCAACTTGTAGATTTTTTTGCAAATCTGTAGTCTGTTCATCGAATTTCGATGCTGTCTATACCTTGCGAGTACATTTAATAATTTATAACGTTCTCGTATTAATTAATAAGACCAATCAATACTCTCAATTAATAATTCAAGAATTTTAATAACAAATAATAACACATTTACAATGTTCACCTTAGATCAGCCACTGTCTTGTTTTCTTTATACATATATTATATGAATAATAATGTATAATATTAAATCCTAATTTTTATATTTTATACATGCAAAATTTTGGCCTAAGATATAATTAGCTAAATACTTTGCATTCGGGTTTACTGAATTTATTTGAAGTTGAGTTTTTGTTTTAACACTGATGTACTGTCATGCCTAATTATACTTTTTTTATATAAATTAATATCTCTGTTAAAAAAAAATTATGTAAGCGAACAATTTGTCACTGGAGCCCCGCCATCGTATGTTATTAGCGGAGGCGGGACTACCTTACGTTTTCATCCATTAAAAACACTTATGACTAAGATTTTTTCCCTCTATGACCTGCGAAGTATTTATATTAATTATAGTATTTGTAACGGAAATTATTCTGAAATCGAACTTTTACGAGTACAAGTAGATTTTATTCCGCAAAGAAGAATAGCAGCATCAATCGTGACAATATTAATATAATACCGACAAGAAAGTAAACCCTATCAATTGTAGAAGGAATTATCAAAATCGGGTCATAATTCACGGAAAAAAGCATATAGGTGAATTGTGAATTATTTCCTTTTGGGAGATGCTTAAAAATAGATTTTTTTCTTGAAAAATACAGGTCACCATCATATCTGTTATATTATTTGACATATTTTAC